CAGTTCAGTTCAGTTCAGTTCAGTTCAGTCTCATTTATCAGCCTTTTCTTCTATACCGTCTTTAGCTCTAGCTACCCTGGTAGAGCTGTATGTCAAGGCACTCAACACATCAGGTGTCGTACCCAACGTAGAGAACGCTTGGGACTCATTTGTTCGTAACAAATGTACCGAAGTATTGGCTGCAGCTGTTAACATCTACCAACAGGATATGACGTCAAGGTTGAAGGACAGGATCCCCTGCGAAGATGACGTGATTAGTAAAGCCCACAAGAAAGCAGTGGATGTTTGTTTGGTGACGTTTCGTACAGAGACGTCTGCTTTGTCACGCAAGAATATTGACAAATACACACAACAGTTCAGGGTGAGGACAATATTGACCTTGGCAATGTACTTCATCTATATATAATTAAATTCTCATCATTCTCACTTTTTCTATCTATCTATTCTGTCATTCGCTCATTTCTTAGATCATTTAAGCAATAAGCTTTTCATTCATTTGTTTGTTTGCTTACTAATTAATTATTTTCTGTTTTTTTGTTTTGTTTTTTTTTTTTTTCAACATTACTGATCAATAAGGAGAAAACTAATCCCATCCTATCAAAGTGGACAAAACAAAACACATGTGAAACCGAGAAATACTGCACTGAGCTTTTCAAACACCTCAAGCAAAGCTTACTGGATCCAGTGCTCCAGCGTCTTCAAGGTCCTGAAGGATTTAAGATGCAAATAAGTGACATCGTCAGTGCATACAATAAAATCGAGAAAAGTTACGAAGCTAAAGCACGTGGAGCGAAGGATGTTCAGACCACCATGTTAATGAACTTTCTTCCGGTGAGTCCAAATGTTCTACTAGCTTTAGCTGTTGTATCACTGCGTGGGACAATAACAACAGAGCTAGGCTCCAAACTAGGTGAAAGCCCAAAGATCGAATTAGAATTTAGTAGTTGATTTTTCAAAGGTGGAGAGAGGGTCATCGCTTTTGTACAATATTTGATGAAAGTTCTAGTCCACGCCATATAATTAGCCAATTTCCTCCAGTTTTCCTTGGTATTTCCCCTTATTTACCACGATTTTCGTCATCTAGCCGTTAAAATGTTGTGGACTCACGAGGCGTAGCTGACAGTCATTGTCATCCGAAATGTCGATTAGGAATTTAATTTGATTTAGCAATTAAAGGTACAATTTAAAGATTTGGGGTAAAAAACGCTGCCGGGGAAGGGCTGAGTCCAGACGGAATCCTCTGACAATTTTGTTCTCAAATATAAACTAGTGCCAACTCTTTTTTGTTCAAATAGAAATGTCAGATTTAATATTATGGCAAATCAATGAAAGAATCGGAGCTGCTCAGATTAACATTGTAAACTAATTTATTTGTGCAGGGGGGAGGGGGATGAATGAGGCCGCAAAATAATTAAGTCATTTATTTTTCGGTTTTATTTTTCTTGTGTCACTATGAAAAACGTAGCGTTTTTTTTTTTTTTTTTTTTTTTTTTTTTTTTTTTTTTTACATTTAACGCTTCGTACTTCCTATTAACGACGCATGTTTCTATTCCTTCAAGGAATTAGATAATGAAATGGAGCTGAATATTGCTATCCTGCAAAGCATGAAAGACAAAAATGAGTCTCTGGAAAGACAGAGGGCAGACCGGGAGGCTGAAAGACGTAGAGCAGAGGTTTGGCAATTATTTTCTTACAAGGATTTATCTAAAACCCAAAGTACATTTTCTTATGGATGAAGCATTGTGTCTCCACTTCTGAATATGTTAAAATGCATTTTGATATCAAGAAACCTTTCCCATAATCCTAATCATATAAACTTTACATAATCCAAACCTAATTGTATTGGGGTCGACTCATATGATTAAATGCCAATGACTGAGTCAAACGTCGAACATATTTATGTCGATCTTAAAACAAATGAAATCAAACAAATCATATTAAATGCTTATGCGGTCAGCGGTTATACCATCATAATGGCGTCCATAATGATAACTCGCCGGCTGTTTTTAATCTATAGCGAACACTTGTTGCATATCAGATTTTTACAGATAGTGTAACTATATTTTGTATAATCAAAGCATGAGCTCTAACATTCAACTGCAGCAGCCATGATGAAAAAATTGTTAACGGCGCATGCGTGATGATATAAAATAATTAACATACATTAACATGATTTATGCATTTAGAAAGGCTCATGTGAGGTTCGACATTTGACCCTAAGTCGATCTGCTGTCGTTCTTCCCGACTGACCTAGTGGTTAAGATCCACTTGGTCGGTCCAAATTCAATMGGTCGAACCTAGTTGGGTCTAACGTCGAACTTCACTTGAACTTATTTCGCACATTTAAGGACGGTGCCTACTAATTGAGAATCAATTTTTTTTTTTAAATGACTATGTGAATTATTTTAACCTATCAAAGGGTTGTCAAATTCTGGTTAGAAAAGTAGGGGTCACCATGCATTTAAAAGAAATAATAAGGCTTAAAAATCGTTAAAGAGTGATGACGTCATGATTTTACTAACACCAGGGGGAAAAAATTTTCAAAAGATTTTGAGAAATTTCTAATTTAAATCGTCCTAAATGACTGACACTTTGTTTCTTTACTAAAATATACCCAATTCTACCATGACTTTAATAGTTGGCTATAATGTATATAATTTTTTAGCTTCGTGCTCCCTATTTTCGATCAGTAGGTACATAAAGATTGTGTCCATATTCTTTTAAGGATTTGGTTTTTTAGAACTGAGTCTGCCATTTTTTCAAAACTTACCCAAAAAAACTTACGATTCTTTGTCAATAATACTTAAACCTTAGCAAATTATCTCTTTAACAAGCCTGGATTACTTAAGATCGTTTTCTGCTTTAACTTTTATTGAAAATAAACGTTTTGTTTCGTGCAATTCGAGTAATAAATTTTGAAATTCCTCGAATGTAGATGCGCAGTACGTGTGCGCGTGGACATTAGTAGGCACCGTCTTAAGTTCGGCTCAAGTAAAGAAGCGCCATTGAACTAACGGAAAAGGCGCTTTAGAAATGCATATGTATATTATTATAATGCACATATTATCATTACTATAATTAAAGTTCGAAGTTTTACCTTAACCCTCTTAGCTCTCTAAATATAAACAAAATATCATTTTTCCAACTTGATTGAAACTTTACTTTCGCTGTTTAACCAAGCTAACTAAAGGAATTGATCTGAAATTTCTTTTTAAAGTCAGTGAATTTGTATAGGAATAATCCGTCCGTAAAACAATCCAACACCATTTATACCACGTGACGGCTAGCCCCGAAAGGTAAATTCGCTCGAGTGACCATGAAATAATTTCTCCAAATCGAGGTTTAGACTTGATAAAATACATTAAATAATGAACTCACTAGTCCAACCTCGACTTGCTTTGAGCCATTGTTTTATAGTCACTCGACGTGTGAATTTGGGTAAGGTCTGTTATGTTAATGCTCCTGGCGAAATGCTGTTTCTTAATATTTAGAAACAGCTGCATCGAATTTTTAAAACAAATTTAAACAATTTTCGACTCTCATTGTGAGTATTACCATGAAGAACCAATAAATTCATTTATCAATTTTAGGAGTTAATAACTCGTTTGGAAACAGAAAAGAAAAACAGAGAAAGACAGGTAATAAATGAATGTCCCAAACA